AGTCATCAAACCCCAAACTCAAATTATATCAAAAATTTATAGAAATTCATATTAGATCATATTATATGATGGCAATATCCAGGAATAGTGACACTTTGGTGTCTGTATGGAATACAATGTTTCTCCAGTACCATGCTAAATGTTTTCAATAAAATCATGTAGCAAACTAAAAACAAAACGACAAAAAAGAACATCCCTTTCTTCTTAAGGCTATCTTATTCCTTCTTACTGAGGGTTTCTTGGAAGTTGTTCTAATCAAATGTTCTTCGTGAACTGAAGGAGCAAAGAGGCATATCAAAACCATCTGGGATCAACACAGAAATCTGTACGAGAATGTTCATAGCAGCATTATTCATAATAATCAAAAGGTGAAACAACCCAGATGTCCACCAACAGATGAGTGGATAAACAAATTGTGGTATATCCACACAGTGGAATACTATTCAGCCATAAACAAGAAAGAAGTGCTGATACATGCTACCACATGGATGAACCTTGAAAACATTGCACTAAGTGAAAGAAGCCAAACACAAAAGGTCACATATGATTCCTTTTATATGGTATATCCAGAATAGGCAAATCCAGAGACAGAAAGCAGATTAGAGGTTACCAGGGGATTCGGGTAGGAGTGACTGAGGAATGACTTCTTAAATGGGTCCAGGGTGTTTTAATGGGGGGATGGAAATGTTTGGAAACCAGAGAGAGCTGGTGGTTGTGCAACATTGTGAATACACCGACTACAACTGATTGTATACTTTAAACCAACAGCGCTTTTTTTTTTTTTTTTTTAAAGATTTTATTTATTTATTTGAAAGAGAAAGAGGAAGAGAGAGGGAGCACAAACAGGGGAAGGGGCAGAGGGAGAAGGAGAAGCAGACTCCATACTGAGCTGGGAACCCAAGGCGGGGCTCTATCCCAGGATCCTGAGATCATGACCTGAGCCAAAGTCAGATGCATAATTGACTGAGCCACCCAGGCGCCCCACAACTGATTGTACACTTTAAAATAGCTAATTGTATGTTATGTGAATTTACCTCAATTAAGGAAAAAAACAGCTGGGAAGGTGTTCAAAAAATCTGAGACTTGACCTTTCCCAGCCCCACATTCTGATTTGGCTTCTAGGGAGCATATTGACGTGCAAGCTCACGTTGTAAGGGATGTGAGGTGACTACCTGCCTTAGGGTGACTCATCATCATTTATTAAGCAACCTGGAGGCTTGAGAGCAGTGCATTTTGGGCAATTTGCTGATTCCTTTAGGCACTCTTAACGCTGAGCTCCGTGGGTAGCAAGGAATAGCATGTGATTAGAGCAGAAGCAATTACTCTTGGAAAAGCATCATTAATCTTAAAAGCCCTTGTCCTGAGATATGTGGCTAAGTGGAGACAAATTAGGATGCTGTCTAGAGGAAAGAAAGTGTTTTCCCCTCTTTAGGACAGAAAGGAAACCTAAAGTCATCTGTTCAAGTAGTTAATTCTTCAGGGGGTGGGAGTGGCAGGTTTGGGGGCTTGAGGGCGATTGGTAGTAGGTTAGTCGTAGGAGGCTTAGGGTTTGTGTCAATTCTGTTGCACAATCTGATCTTTAAGCAGCTGATCCCAGGACTTCCCCAACTCTTGCTCCTCACTGGTCCAGAAGACCAGCCCCATTTTCTGCTCATGTCTAACTCT